CATACCAGATTCATTACTGTATTCACTATACGTTGCAACAAATTACCACATATCAAATAGTTGAAAACAATATATTTGCATTTATTCTATCACAATTTCTGTGGAATCTTGGCATGGTTTACTTGGATCTTTGGATACACACACACACACCAGGGATTGAACTTGGAGGCACTCAGCCACTGAGCCACATCCCCAGTGCTATTTTGTATTTTATTTAGAGACAGGGTCTCACGGAGTTGATTAGTGACTTGCCATTGCTGAGACTGGCTTTGAACTTGCTTTCCTCCTATCTCAGCCTCCCAAACCACTAGGATTACATAAAGTCATGTGCCACAGTGCCCGGCTTAGTTGGATCTTTTATGTGGGGGTCTCTCACAAGTTTCCAAGTGAGGCCTGGGTCTCATCTGAGGCTTCACTGAGAATTTCATGTGGTTGTTGGCAACACTCACTGCCTTGCAGGTTTGGCAGCCAGAGGCTGCCCTCAGTTTCTTGTCACATGTACCTCTCCACATGGCAGCTTACCTCATCAAAGCCATCAAGAGAGAAAGTCAACCGAGAGAGTCTACTGCCAAGATGGTCATTACAATTTTACGTAAAATAATCATAGAAAAGACACGTCCTCATCACCATTCTGATAATATCGGGCTAGAATCAAGTCAGAGGTCCTGCTCATGTTCATTGGGCAGGGATTACACAAGGGTGTGAATACCAGAAGGTGACGATAACCAGGACCTCCTGAGAGTCTTCATAAGATTTCTAAAGGTACAAAGATGAAAAGGTGACTCAAGGAAAATCTGTCCTTAGAGAAGGAGAAAGGGTTTTATTAACCCTTTATGCACAAAGTATTTAGAGAAAACATGAATAATCTCTCTTTTTCCCTTCCAAACTCCTCAGTACCCTGCCCCCCCCCAGGAATTAGTAGTAGCCAATAATATTTGTTGAGTTGGTAGCCTTCCTTAAATTCTCTATGCTTGTACATCATGTTAGATATATTGAATTTAAATGTATTTAATAGTGTTTTATTTACAGAAGAGTTTAGATCATCAGTCACATTATTTTTAAAGATTTTTATCTTTTCTACTTGAAATAATTTCAAACTTACAAAAATGTGAAATTAGCACAGAGTTCCCTTCTACCCTTCACATAGCTTTTTTAAACCTCAGCATATTATTTAACCATAGAACAATGCTCAAGATCAGAAAAATAATGTTGACACAGTTTTATTAATGAATATACAAATCTTATTCACATTTTTTTTCAGTTGTCTTACTAATTCCCTTTTTCTGGTCTAAGAATAAATCTAGGATCATACATCACAATGCATGTCATTTTCTGCCTACTAAGTCTTCTCCAGTCTGGGGCAGTTTCATAGTTTTGATAGTCTTGAAGAGTTCCATCTATTTATTGTTTATATCATGTCCTTAATTTTGGGTCTGCCTGATATTTCAAAATTCAAGTTAGGTTATGGAAAAAGACCACCAAACACAACAACAACAACAACCCAGAAATGATACTGTTTCCAAGGCATTCAATTAGAAGGCTTATAATGACACTATGTCTCATTATTGATCATGATAGTTTTAATTACTTAAAGTGGTGTCTTGTCAGAGTTCTCTGTAGAACTATTATTTTTCCTTTTGTAATAAATCATATATTATGAGAACTTTGTAATGGACTTTATCTTATGCTCTGAAACTATATAAAAATTTTATCACCATGATTTAAGACCCTAATGTAGTATCCTATGATAACATTTGACTAAAGCAATTTTTACCATGATATTTTTCAAATGTTAATGACATAGTTCCATAATTCTATACTTAGATTTCTACTGTAATAAATATTTTCTCAACTGAAAGCATTTCTTTAAAATCGGGGACAAGACAAGGATGTCCACTTCACCACTCCCATTTAATATATTACTAGAAATTGTAGCCAGAACAACTGGGCGAGAGAAGGAAATACAATGGATAAGTATAGGAAAGGAAGATGCCAGAGTCATTATCACTCTTTTTAGGTGATATATACCTAGAATGGCTCCCAGCATAGAAGTTTAAAAAAAAAAAAAACTCCTCCAAAAGATGGCTAGAGCTAATGAACAAATTTGCCAAAGTAGCAGTTTACAAAATCAACATAAAAAAAATCAGTAGCTTTCCTATATACCAAAAATAAAATGGCTAAGAAAGAAATCAGGAAAATAATTTATTTCCAAAACAAACAAACAAACAAAAAAATGTAGGAATAAATCTAACCAAGGAGGCGAAAGTGTTCTACAGTAAAAACCATAGAATATTTTTTTTTTTTTTTTTAATTTTTTATTGTGGGTTGTTCAAAACATTACAAATTTCTTGACATATCATATTCCACACTTTGATTCTAGTGGGTTATGAAAAAACCATAGAATATTGAAAAAAAAAAATTGAAGAAAACCTCAGAAGATGGAAAGATGTTCAAGGCAAGGCAGAATTAATGTTGTTAAAATGACCATACTACCAAAAGCAAATTTTGGATTCAATGCAATCCCAATCAAAATACCAATGACATTCTTCACAGAACTGGGGTGGGGTTGGGGGGCACTCCTAAAATTTATTTGGAAGACAAAAAGACCCAGAATAGCCATAGCAATTCTAAGCCAAAAAAAAGCAATGCTGGAGGCCCTCACAATACCTGACTTCAACTTATACTACAGAGCCTCAGTAACAAAAACTTCATGGTACTGGCATAAAAAACAGACATATGGACCAATGGTACAGAGTAGAAGACACAAACCAAACCCACACAGATAGAGTCATCTGATCCTTGACAAAGGTGCCAAAAACATAGGAGAAAAGGTAGCCTTTTTAACAAGTGGTGCTAGGACAACTGGTTATCCATGTATAGAAGAATGAAACTAGACTCTGTCTCTCATACTGCACAAAAATCAACTCAAAATGGATCAAAGACCTTGGAAGTATATCAGACACTCTGCAACTCCTAGAAGAAAACAAAGTGTCCACTCTAGCTTTTAAGCACAGGCAACAACTTTCTCAGTAGGAACTCTAAAACTTAAAAAATAATGCTAAGAGTTAATAAAAGGGACATTATCAAATTAAAAAGTTTCTGCATATCAAAGGAAACAATTACAAATGTGAAAAGAGAACCCACAGAATGGAAGAAAGTCTTTGCTACGTACTCTTCTCAGAGGATTAAATATTTAGAATATATAAAGAGCTCAAAAAACTTTACATCAAAATCAAATAACCCAATTAATAAATGGGCAAATGAATTAAACAGATACTTCTCAAAAAAGGAAATATAAATGGCCAACAAATATGAAAATTGTTCATTATCATTACCGAATAGGGAAATGCAAATCAAAAAACTACACTGAGTTTTCATTTCACACTAGTCAGAATGGCAGTCATTGAGAATATAAACACTAATAAATGCTGGAGAGGATGTGAAGGAAAATGAACAATTTCAAACTGATGGTGGGACTGTAAATTAGTACAGCCACTGTGGAAATCAGCATGGAGGCTCCTCAAAAGACTCGGCATGAAACCATCACATGACCTAGCTATACCACTCCTTGGTATACATCCTGAAGAAGTAAAGTTATCTTATTATAGTGATACACACATACCCATGATAATAGCAGCACAATTCACAATAGTCAAACTATGGAATCAGCCTAGGTATCCATCAATGGATGAATAGATAAAGAAAATGTGGTATACATACACATTGGAGCTTTATTAAGCCATAAAGAAAAATGAAATAATGGCATTTGCAGGAAGATGGATGGAACTAGAGGTTATCATGTTAAGAGAAATAAGTCAAACTCAGAAGGTTAAAGATTGTAAGTATTCTCTCATATATGGAAGCAAAAAGAAAAAAAAGTTGGAGGAAGATCTCATGAAAATCAAAGGAACATCAGTAGGGGGAGGCAGAAAGTGAGCAAGAAGTGCTGGGGAATGATATTGGCCAAATTATATGGTTATATTGTGTACATGTACAAATATGCTACAATAAATCCCATCATTATGTTTAACTATAGTGCATCAATAAGAAATGTGTGTAAAAAAATAATAGCCTCACAAAATTAAAGAACAACAACAAAATTGGGACATTTAAAGTAATATCAACAATTTTTATAAATCAAAACTATTGAGAACATATTATTGCCATAAGAATGGAGAAAAATACTTTTGGTACAGAATTCAAAGTCTAGAAACTGGTTTACATGTACAGAAATACCTGATGTATTACAACAGTTTTCCTTTACCACTGAGCTACATCCCCAGTTTAGCTCCCAGTGCTATACTTTTTACTCCTCAGAATCTCCCTAAATTAATGAGCCTGGTTTCAAGCTTGCCATCCTCCGGCCTCAGCCTTCTGAATAACTGGGATTTATAGGCAAGGACCACAGTGACTGGCAGATTTCTTAGTATCCAAATCTCTCTAGGAGAAAGAAAGATAATCCAATGGAAGAAAAACCACAGAGACAATTCTCAGATGAGGAAATGTGCATGTCAACCATGTTGGTAATCAAGAAAATGCCAAGTAAACAACAAATAATAGTGAAATAATTTTATCAAAGTACAGCACAGAAGTGCAAGCCAGGAATACATGAGAAAAGACCCTATTCCTTTCTTGTGTGGGAATTGCTATAATCTTTGTGAGACAGAATCTGGCAGCACCTAAGGACACAAAACAAACACTTTGATCTATTAATCACATATGGGTGGATCTATCCCACAAAACACACAGTTCCAATATATTAGGATTCATGTGCCATGATTTTTATCCCAGACTCAGATTCTACATAGTAAATGTTTGACTATGAAGTGCACTCCTTAAGACCAATGTAGGGATGTAAGCTAATAATATAGAAAATGCATTTTGCAAATTTTAGTGATCAATATTAAAACACATGGCAATGTGGAAACCCTGTGGGATTTCCAACAGTGTCTCTTTTCTACCCTGACTCCTAACTGTCCTCTGAATCTGTGTCCTCACAGGACAACACTCCAAGGAATTAACAAGGGAACAACCACATAAGAGAGAAATCCTGCTTCCTCAGTTCAGAATAGGCACCCTGGAGGGCTGCTCCTGGAACTCTGACTACCAGTCTGTTGCTGTTTCTCTTGAGTACTAATTACTCCCAGAAAGTTCGGAGTGGGGACAAGAAAAGTTATGTCCTGGAGGAAGAGACAGCCCTGTTTGCATCTGCAGGAGTCCCAAAGCTGGTCATTAGTTGCCTATCTCTGCTGGCTTTGTTATCTCAAGGAGGCTTGTCTGCCAGTAGGTGCTTGGGGAACTTGGAGGCTCTGGGGTGCTTCAGGAACTTGTAGCCACAGGGGACCGTAGGAGCCTTTGTTAAATCTCTTCTAGTAGATAAGGAATGGATGGATTTGGGGAATTAAATCTAAGAGAAAAGATGGAGTAATTATGTGCCAAGAGAAACAGAGGTTGTAGAGGATACTTTCCTTAGAGACTCATACCTTTGTGCTAATGATGCCAAAGTTGGTGAGCAGGCTTTTTTTATTTTATTTTATTTTAATTCTAATTAGGTATATATGACAGCAGAATGCATTTTGATTCATTGTATATAACTGAAGAGCAGCTTTTCATTTCTCTGGTTGTACATGATGTAACGTTGCACCATATGCAGTCATACATGTACCCCTTCCAGGTCAGTATTCTTACCTTGATTAATGGGGAAGACATATAAATTTCATAGGATTTCCTCTCCACCACCCTAACCTAACATGAATTCTTATTCCATATCCTACCCCCTTCACCATTACCTCACTGACTAATATATTAAAAAATGTATTTGGAAGTTAATTACCAATAATTAGGGCAGCATATTCTTTTCAGAAAATAAGATGCAAAGAAAGTCCTAAGTTAGTGTGATGAGTGAGTTATCTAGTACTTAGCCAAGGTTAATTCTATCAGAACCTGTGTCTATCCAGAGAGGCAGGAAGACATAGGGAATGGTCAGATGACATGAAGACACCATTCCATATCTTGCCTGTTATGTCACAAGTGATTCCATCTTCAAAATACCTCTCTTGTGTAAAGTGGCCTGAAACTACAGAAGGGCTTAGCACTGTTGAAATAAAAACTGTGCTAGTGGGAGTCTGTGGTATGGCTTTGTCATCTGGCTAAATAAAATCATCATAACTTGATGAAACAGCAAAATAGGCTTCAAAGAAACTCTAAAATACTAAAAAATTTAACATGTAGTAAATGTAGCTTTAAGTAACTTCTTGTGTTTGAATAACTAATAATTTACAAAAATAGTAACATGTAATAATATATCATAAAATAAATTCTAGTTGGATTAAAGAATAAGATACAACCAAGGAAACCAAAGAAAAAATAGGGAGTATTTAACTCATATCTTTTTTGTGTTTTTATTCTTTTTAAAAATTTTATTAATTAGTTACACATGACAGTAGAATGCATCTTGATATATCATACATAAATGGGGTATTATTTTTCTCAGTCTTCTGGTTGTACATAATGTATACTCACACAGGTCATGTAATCATATATGCACATAGGGTAATAATGTCACATTCATTCTTCTATTATTCCTACCCCCATACTTCCTCAATTCCCTTCACTCCCTTCTGTCTAAATCAAAGTACCTGTATTTTTCCCTAGCACCCCACCTTATTGGGAATTAGTATTTGAATATCAGAGAAAAAAATTCCGCCTTTGGTTTTGGGGTGGGCTTAGTTCATTCAGCATGATACTCTCCAGTTCCATCCCTTTATGCACAAATGCCAGAATTTCATTCTTCTTTAAGGCTATATAATATTCCATTGTGTATATAAATTACATATTCTTTATCCATTCATCTGGTGAAGGACGCCTAGTTTAGCTATTGTGAATTGAGCTGCTATAAATATTGATGTGGCTGTGTCACTGAAGTATGCAGATTTTAAGACCTCTGGGTATAGACCAAGGAGTGTGGTAGGACTACCAATCTATAGTCCCTCCAGCAATGTTGAATGTACCTCTTTCCCCACATCCTCACCAACACTTATTGTTGCTTGTACTCTTGATAACTGCCATTCTGACTGGAGTTAGATAAAATCTTACACTAGTTTTGATTTGCATTTCTATAATTGCTAGATATGTTGAACATTTTTTCATATATTTGTTAATTGATTATGTATCTTCTTCTGAGAAGTATCTGTTCAGTTCCTTGCCCATTTATTGATTGGGTTATTTGTTTTTTTTGGTGTTAAGTTTTTTGAGTGCTGGAAATTAGTGCTCTGTCTTCTGTGTGTGTGCTAAAGACTTTCTCCCATTCTGTAGGCTCTCCTTTCTCATTGTTGTTTATTTTGCTGAGAAACAGCTTTTTAGTGTAAATCCATCCCATTTATTGATTCTTGATTTTATTTCTCGGGCTTTAAGAGTTTTGTTAAGCAAGTCAGTTCCTAATCCAACGTGGTGAAGATTTGGGCCTACTTTTTCTTCTATTAGGTGTAGGGTCTCTGATCTAATTCCTAGGTCCATGATCCACTTTGAGTTGAGTTTTATGCATGGTGACAGGTAGGAGTTTAGTTTCATTTTGCTGCTTATGGATTTCCAGTTTTCCCAGCACCATTTGTTGAAGAGGCTATCCATTCTCCAATGTATGTTTTTGGCACCTTTGTCTAGTACGAGATAATTGTATTTATGTGGTTTTATCTCTGTATCTTCTATTCTGTACCTTGGTCTACAAGTCTATTTTGGTGCCAGTACCATGCTGTTTTGTTACTATAGCTCTGTAGTATAGTTTAAGGTCTGATATTGTGATGTTTCCTGCTTCTCTTTTCTTGCTCAAGATTCCTTTGGCTCTTCTGAGTCTCTTATTTTTCCAAATGAATTTCATGATTGCTTTTTCTATTTTTATGAAGAATGTCAATGGGATTTTAATAAGAAATGCATTAAATCTGCATAATGTTTTTGGTAGTATGGCCATTTTGACAATATTAATTCTGCCTATCCAAAACATGGGAGGTCTTTCCATCTTCTACATCTTAAATTTCTTTATTTAGTGTTCTGTAGTTTTCATTGTATAGGTCTTTCACCTCTTTTTTTTTTTTTTTTTTCAGATTGATTCCCAAGTATTCCATTTCTTTTGAGGCTATTGTGAATGGGATAGTTTTCCTAATTTCTCTTTCAGTGGATTCATCACTGATGTATAGGAATGTGTTTGATTTATAGTTGTTGATTTTATATCCTGTTACTTTTCTGAATTAATTTATTGGTTATAAGTTTTTTGGTGGAATCTTTGGGATCTCCTAAATATAGAATCATGTTTTCCCAAATAGTGATAGTTTGAGTTCTTCTTTTCCTATTCATATCCCTTTAATTCTTTCTTTTAATTGCTCTGGCTAGAGTTTCCAGGACAATGTTAAATAGAAGTGGTAAAAGAGGGTATCCTTTTCTTGTTACAATATTTAGATGGAAGGCTTTCAATTTTTCCCCATTTAGAATGATATTGGCTTTGGGTTTAGCATATATAGCTTTTACAGTGTTGAGGCATGTTTATACTATCCCTAGTTTTTTTAGTATTTTGAACATGAACGTGTGGTATTTTTGTCAAATGCTTTTTCTGCATCTATTGAGATGATCACATGATTCTTGTCTTTAAGTCTATTGATTTAACTCATACCTTAATAGAAAAACCTAGGTCAAAAGTAAAAAATAAAAAGAGAGAGAGAGGAAGAAAGAAGAGGATGAAAAAGAAGAGGTGGAGACATAAATGAGATATCGTATTTAATAATTACATAACATTTTAAACTTCTGTACACTGAAAAATTCTGGAATACATGGGAGAAATTATTCATTTCTTTATATGCAAAAACTCATCTAAATCAATAAGTAACCTATAAGCAATCTAAAAGAAATACAGTTGAAATACAAGAATAGAAAATAATAAAGGAAGAATTTTGCAATGATGGTAAATGTATGAAAAGCAAATTCATTACTGATTACTTAGAAGAGAATGACTAGATGTTGCCTATAAAATATCAAAATTCAAACAGTGCATTAATATTCAGCACTCATGAGAATGAAGACAATAACCCCCATAATGAACTACTGGAAAATAGAGTAGAAATGACCTCATGCTTCTCCTGCCTCTGGAGAAACAGAGAGCATGTGCTAACTGAAGAGCAACTTGCTACTAAGAGGAAGGTAAAAGAAGGTCTTGGAATATATTAGTTCAGTTTTTCTTGGAAAATTTACCAATTACACATGCCATCCCTTGCCCACACCTCCTTTAGAGAGAAGTAAATGAGGCTAGAAGAAGACTGAGGTGATATAGTGGGAAATGCCATCTCTGAATGAAAAGAAGCATCTAGAATTGGGGAGAAGTACCCCACTCCAATAACAAACAGTCCATTGTTTCTTCCCTACCTCTGTTTACTCATATTAATTTTTCTTGCTGAATAAAAAGTATCACAAATTAAAAACCAAATTAAAACAGCACCCAATTATTATCTCACAGCTTCTGTTGGTCAAGAATCTGGGCATGGCTCAACTGTGTCCTCAATAGGCTGCAGTCATGGTTTCTCTCAGGGATTGGTTCTTATCTGGAGATTCAAATGGTGATAAATCCTCTTTCAAAGTCACTTTTATTATTAGCATAATTCAATACAGAGAGTCCCAGTTTCTTAATGGTTATTGGTGGAAGCCACCCTAAGGTCTCAGAGGTTGCCTACAGTCCCTTCACATCTGACCTTCTTCATTGGCCCTGTCATAACATACAGCTTCTTTTCAAAGCCAGCATGAAATAAAGAAAATGAAATATTGAAAGAGCTTTGTATGACATAATGTAATCATGAAAGCAATGTCCCATCATCTTTGCCATATTGTATTGGTCAGAAGCAAGTCAGAAGTCTTACCTACTCAAGGTCTGAACATAAGGAGGTGAAGAACATGGGGACCCTCTCAGACTTTGTCCACCACACTACTACATAAAAGGGACAACATTTACCCCAGATAAAGAGATGTTCATTTTCCTTCCCTCTTCTTAACTCATCATTTTTATAATCTGTAATTTACAGCACTCCAGTTTCAAGTATCATATTTCTACATTAATCAAGATTATTAGTTATAAAATGGATTATATCCAAACCAAAACTAGCT